CGAGCATGGGCATACCGGTGGATATAATATCCACAGTAGATAAAATGGAAGATATACTTAGACTTAGATAGATTTTTGTATGAACATAAACTTAAACCCACGTTCAATGAACTAGGATAAAATTGTCCCTTTCAAATGTCAAAAAAGTATAATCTTTTATCTTTCAATTGCCTCCGTAGAATGACATGACTTGAATGATAGACACGTTGCCGTGCTTTGGTATAAGGACAAGATAATTTTATCTCTTGTCAGCGGATATAATCCGGGGAAAATTTTTTTGTCCACAGCCCATGCTAGCCGTGCAGGAGTGGGTAGAATCGCCCTCTTTAGCAACTAGACAACAAAAAAAACTGCGGTTGCTAGTGCGTTTGCCAAGCGTGGCAATTATAGCAATTATCCCAAATATACCCCTTATAGAGCAATCAAGCCTATGTTCTCTAGTGTACTCTGGACTTTGATAGACTGTTAAATGAAATAAAAGACAGTGAAATTAATCTCACTGTCTTTTATTTCTGCCGCCAAACAGTAGTGCACCCACTGATAAGTACCTATTTAAAATGTAAGATGACCAAATAGTAAGAGACTGCGAGGAATCCTCGATGTGACAACTCCACTATTACCTTCTATGCTTGAGGTTGAAGGTGTCTATGGACTGAATTTACTACTATTATTACCAGGTAGGTTGTAAACTCATTTCATCATCAACCTACGGCAGTCCACTGCTGGACATAAACCTCTCATAAAACGCGCCGCTATCAGTGTCCGCTTTTCGGCACCATAAGTGAGTACACGTGCAGGACGCACTGGTTGTAGATTTTGTCTTCAGACTTTGCGGTATTGACGACGAGAAAACCAGACGGAGCTTTCTAAATGCCGCCCAGCCTAACTGAATCCTCCGATCGGCCTTCCTTCTCGAAGTTATTCATACCTAGATGCAATATTTGCCCGAGGTAGGTATATGCCTGGACAACTTCGAGAATTTCACCATCAACAGTAATTGGAACTGGCATGACGTGATCGATTCAGTCTGTTCAGCATGTCCTGAAGTACTTGCAACTATTCTGCCATGGTGACAATATCATCAGCAAAGCGTAAATGTAAGGTGTACTTACAGTTTACGTCAATGCCGCGTCCTTTCAAGTCTAGCGTCTTAAAAACATCTTCCAGTGCATTTGTAGACAACTTAGGGGATATAACATCCCTCTGTCTCACTCCGCGATACAACTGGATTGATTTTGTTTGACTGCTTTAACTTGGACGTACATCGCACTGGCTTAACAATTCATTTAAAAACACTCGATTAAAATATATATATACACACTATTAAAATATATATATATATATATATATATAAACTCCTATATAAGTGGTTACTGTGGCCCATAGACATTGCTATTGTGTAGTAGTATAGGAGTTTATATATATATATATATATATATTTTAATAGTGTGTATATATATATTTTAATCGAGTGTTTTTAAATGAATTGTTAAGCCAGTGCGATGTACGTCCAAGTTAAAGCAGTCAAACAAAATCAATCCAGTTGTATCGCGGAGTGAGACAGAGGGATGTTATATCCCCTAAGTTGTCTACAAATGCACTGGAAGATGTTTTTAAGACGCTAGACTTGAAAGGACGCGGCATTGACGTAAACTGTAAGTACACCTTACATTTACGCTTTGCTGATGATATTGTCACCATGGCAGAATAGTTGCAAGTACTTCAGGACATGCTGAACAGACTGAATCGATCACGTCATGCCAGTTCCAATTACTGTTGATGGTGAAATTCTCGAAGTTGTCCAGGCATATACCTACCTCGGGCAAATATTGCATCTAGGTATGAATAACTTCGAGAAGGAAGGCCGATCGGAGGATTCAGTTAGGCTGGGCGGCATTTAGAAAGCTCCGTCTGGTTTTCTCGTCGTCAATACCGCAAAGTCTGAAGACAAAATCTACAACCAGTGCGTCCTGCACGTGTACTCACTTATGGTGCCGAAAAGCGGACACTGATAGCGGCGCGTTTTATGAGAGGTTTATGTCCAGCAGTGGACTGCCGTAGGTTGATGATGAAATGAGTTTACAACCTACCTGGTAATAATAGTAGTAAATTCAGTCCATAGACACCTTCAACCTCAAGCATAGAAGGTAATAGTGGAGTTGTCACATCGAGGATTCCTCGCAGTCTCTTACTATTTGGTCATCTTACATTTTAAATAGGTACTTATCAGTGGGTGCACTACTGTTTGGCGGCAGAAATAAAAGACAGTGAGATTAATTTCACTGTCTTTTATTTCATTTAACAGTCTATCAAAGTCCAGAGTACACTAGAGAACATAGGCTTGATTGCTCTATAAGGGGTATATTTGGGATAATTGCTATAATTGCCACGCTTGGCAAACGCACTAGCAACCGCAGTTTTTTTTGTTGTCTAGTTGCTAAAGAGGGCGATTCTACCCACTCCTGCACGGCTAGCATGGGCTGTGGACAAAAAAATTTTCCCCGGATTATATCCGCTGACAAGAGATAAAATTATCTTGTCCTTATACCAAAGCACGGCAACGTGTCTATCATTCAAGTCATGTCATTCTACGGAGGCAATTGAAAGATAAAAGATTATACTTTTTTGACATTTGAAAGGGACAATTTTATCCTAGTTCATTGAACGTGGGTTTAAGTTTATGTTCATACAAAAATCTATCTAAGTCTAAGTATATCTTCCATTTTATCTACTGTGGATATTATATCCACCGGTATGCCCATGCTCGAAGGGTGGATAAAACTAAGCGATGATAAAAATGGGATAAACATTTTCTCCTTTCCCGGGGGTAAAATTTTCTCCTGTCCATGCTAGCCCTGCTGGTCTGTTTTCCTCTATTGTCTATTACAACACCCACGGAATGATATCGGGGTATACATATACTGCCACTTCAAGGTCTACCACGCCTCAACCCATTGTAGTATTGGACGATAGTAATTTAATATTTTCAAATCTTAAAATCAAAACATCGATTTAAAGATGAATGTCTCTTCATTTTTATCTTATTCAATTAGAAGCTCATAGAGTAATGATATTGTGAATCACAGCGGAACCCTAAAAAGGGGAAAATGAACAATTAATAGAATCAGGTGTTACTTTGCGGAAGTCCATTATATTAAATTTGACAAAAAGTTATTTTGCGTACATCCGCTAGATAAAATAAAATGATGTGTCTTACCTAGTTTGAAGAGCACCTCCCGCCCTCCCTCAATTGCGTGCACTATCCCCGTCACCACTAATCCCAGCACCACTACTCCCAACACCACTACACTAGGAAAGTCACACCAATGACGACAATACGACACGTGTTTCGCCTCTACACGAGGCATCCTCAGGTGATATAGACTCTACGAAGTTAAGTAAGACACATCATTTTATTTTATCTAGCGGATGTAAGCAAAGTAATTTTTTGTCAAATTTAATTTAAATGAACGATTGATCAAAATTTAGTTTCAGTTATGGAGGGAAAGTAAGTTTTCCGTTTCCTGATAAGATATTATGCTGTGACACTATATCTTAACACTTTCACTGTCCTGTTTTCAGACACAATAGTAAGACAATAGCAATGCCTATATTTTTCTATATTAATAGTATAGTTGCAGCACGAATGGATCGGCTCGACCGGGGAAGGACCACGTTCTCACAGAATACCAGCGTAAAATAGCAGCTTAATGCTACTGTTTCGTATGGTGAATGTAGAGAACCGGAGATCTATCTTACTGGAAAAGAGGCGTTCTATCTTAGTCCTCACGGGTGACAACGCATCTGCATTTTAATTCGCAAACGAAGATAGATGTAGATGTCTATGGGCCACAGTAACCACTTACCATCAGGTGGACTGTGTGCTCGTTTGTCACCCTTATTCTATAAAAAAAAATGTAGTGCACGAGACAGCGAAAGGGGTAACAAACAAATAATAATCTCCAGCCATCTCAAGCAAGCTTTTTAGAGACTTCTTAGAGTAAATACGATTCATCTAATAAAGTAGTGACTAAGTCGAAGTGTAATGTGAGATGATAATAAAAAGACATGTTGCTTTTACTAGGTTTTTAATTAGACTAATTTCTATTATTAAACACAAATGTCGTGTGGGCTTGGGTAGCTACATCATACCTGGGAGGCGTAAATACGACAAAATTACAAAAAATATACTTACTTAATATAACAATAATTCAAAAGTATCTGTAACTAATAATTGAATAGTAGTAGAGAATTAATAAACTAGTTTGTTAAATTTAGGCAGGGAAATCGGAAGGGGTTTATTCTACAATATGTTTCAATGAAGAAGTCCTGCGGAAAATGTGCGTACTAAAATGTAAAGTGTCTTTTTGTTGACAAAAACTCTTCTCTAAACTCAAGACTATCAATAAATCACATTTCGTGATTAGGTCAAATATGTCCAAGACACTCGTTGAACTAACATTTGAATTATTTACGTTAATCTAAAAAAACAAGCTCTTGAAAGCTTTTTTATCACTGGAATATAAAATAATAGCGGAAGCATTAATTTTAACTTGATTATACCGACTATAAATTATTAACAGACAGATCTAGAAAGCACTTTCTTTGTATTATTTGCTTTCCCTTTTTTTTATAAAACTGAAGCGACAAACGTGCTTACAGTCCAGCTGCTGTTAGTGACTCATGGCACCTGAAACCAAGTTCAAACAAAAACACCTACAGATGCGACGTAACCTTTGAGGACTGAGATGGAATGCCTCATAGCCTCTAATAATATTAGTTATCTATTCTCTTCAGACTAATACGTGGTAGAGCCATGCTGCTTTTAATTTATAGTTTAATAGGGTGACAACACATCTGCATTTTGATTCTTAATCGAGGATAAAGGTAGATGTCTCGACAGACTATATAGAGACAGGTAGACAGACACGTTTGTCACCCATATTCATTAAAAAAAGGTTTTTTGTTTGCGCGCTAAGCTTGTAGCAAATTTACATAATATGTCAACTTTTCAACGTCGTAAAGTCGACGTAAAATATTTATTGTTAGATTTTATGACATTTGATCACAGGTCAATGACATTTGCGTGAATTTTGTGTCTTTAAATCGTATCTATTACTGTCTGTTGCTGTCCCCTAAGGCGCTGCTCAAACGAACTGTTGTGTATTGTGTGGAATGCAAGTTTCCAGTGAATATTTTATTTTCATATAAACAATATGAAATCAGCCACTTCCTGCACAGATGCAGACACTTTTTGTGTCCAGTTGCTTCCACTTGACACGTACTGATCGCCAAGCAACAAGTTCTCGGTGTAGTTAACTGGAAACTTACAAGTCATCAGTTGAATACACACACTTAAGCACGACACAGACAGTTGACGTGGCTGATTTGCCTCTAAATATGATGTTTACATCTACGTATCATCAACACAACAAGCAAAAGTAATATTTCTTTATCGACATCCATCGTGAAACTGACGGCAAACTAGAAACTAATTATTATTACCAGTGACCAGGAATAGCAACCGGCTGTCCGATTGGCGATACCGGACACAGCAACTATGGTTTCCTATGATGGTGTGCCGTGTCGGTAACAAAGTGTCTACGTTTGCGCAGCGCCTAAGCTTAGAATAATGCAAAAAAAAAGTAGTTAACATAACAAAATGAGCGTTAACCATACACGGAGTCAGATTATAAGCGGTCACTATGGTCCATACAGACTTTTAACTAGCCATCTTCAAAAAGAAAAGGAAAAGGTCATCAATTTGACGGTGTGTTCTTTTCTTGAATGTACGAGTATGATACTCATTATCTTCGTCAATAGTAAACTGATTTTCATAATTCTTTTTTATTGAATAGAATATACTTTATCCTATACAAATTTGAATAATAAATTACACCTCTAAGAATCGAAAAGTTGGTAATGAAGTTTTTCATCTAACTGTTTAAACGACATTCGAACTTGTGATTTTCCTTAGTCCACTCGAAACTGATCAATAATTTTTTACTTAAGTTTAAAAGTCTAATCTTAAAATATAATAATCACGTAGTTAAATACTCACGCCTATAATAATAATATAATAATAAATAAAATTACAATAGGTGGCGCGCGTATTGCAACGACATACTTATTTATTTGAAAGTCATAATATTTATTTATTTATTTACTCTTAACTGTTAACACCTTAATAACTAGGGTAACAAAGGGCGGAAAAACGCCCAACGGCATTCTCTGCCAGTCAATACGTGGAGTGATGAGATTTTATGGCAGGTGCAAATACATACTAAGATATACATATAATATACATAAACTTTACATATAGCGTTTGTAATTATATGAACAAAATATGTATCATACATATATATAATATATACTAAATATGATAATAAAATACATTTATTGAAATTGCAAATAATAAAACATCTAAATGTATCAAAATACATCATCATCATTCTTAACATCCAACATCACTTCGTTTCAAAAAAAACTCATGTACCAACTTTATAAAACAGTCCTTACTTGGCGCTCTTCTTACAATGTCATTCAATTTCAACGAATTTACTATCATTATCAATTAATCAATTAATTAAACAATATAACCATTCCAAATTTAAGACGATGTCTCCACAAATATTTTTTCTGGCAGGATACCAGTTACTTATTTTTAAACTTTTCAACGTGTTAGAGCCATGCTGCAGCTATATTAGTAGTATAGTTGTAGCACGAATGGGTCGCCTCGACCGGGGAAGGACCAGGCTCTCACAGAATACCTGCGTAAAATAGCAGCTTATCACTGCTGTGTTTCGTATGGTGAGTGTAGAGAACCGGAGACCCTTTTTACTGGAAAAGAGGCATTCCATCTTAGTCCTTACGGGTGACAACGCATCTACATTTTGATTCACAAAACGAGGATAAATGTAGATGTCTATGGGCCACAGCAACCACTTACCATCAGGTGGACTGTGTGCTCGTTTGTCACCCTATCCTATAAAAAAAGCTTCTTTTAAGCAGCTCATAAGCATTCTATTAATACATCAGTAACCATTTTTAAAAATTTTGTCTGTTTGTCTGTCTGTCCGGGCTAATCTTCGGAATATTCGAATCGATTGCGCGATGTGCGATATTTAAATAAAATATATGTGTGTGGTTTTCAACCCAAATATCTGAACTGGAAGATCGGGTAACCCCTAATTCGGTCACTTGATCTTGATATTCGTCGTACAATGGAGAACACGGTAGCTATAAAACTGTTTCATATGATATCTAAGCCGGTATTATGCTATATCAGTTTTTTAATCGACTACTGGTTTGAGGCCTTCTTGTGAGCCAACCTCCATTCATAACTTGTAACAAATGCCCCACTGGAGGATATCGTCGAACTTGAAAAAATGCTTCCCGTCATACTATACATTCTAGACTAGCTGATTACCTTATCTTATGAATGTCTGCTGGAGAAAGTATTTAGCAGGCGACTTGATTTGCAGGACCACATGGGTCCCAACTTTGTTATTTCTTCCTGGCACCGGTCTAGTTATTCTACATTTCATCATCATCATTGCAGCCTATTAAAGTCCACTGTCGAACATAGCCCTCCCTCGTAAAGGGGATATTTGTCATATTTGCCACGCCTGGCAGGTGGGTGGCCAACCGCAGTAATTTTTTTCATTTTCCAGTTGTTATCAGGAAGATGCTGCTGCCTACCTCCTAGTATCTTTTTCTTCTGTCGCCTCTTACGAAACCCACAGGAAGATATGGGCTAGTGGATATTTTTACATCGCCACTACGCGTTGTAATTTTATATTCGACATAAACTAAATGAAGATTAATTTAAAAAAAAATGCTACCATTATTATTTTTGCATTTCCTATAATCGCCACATACTACACCCACGGGACCAAATAGGGTGATGAACTCTTCTATGCCACCATCACACTATATGCTATATTGATGCCCAGTATGACTAAAAATAAACACTCGTACCTATGAAGTATACAAAATCTTTATATAAAAATATTTATATTCATATTTCAAAAAAGGTTTATTTAAATAAATTAACATTATCAATATAATTTGCTATTTTAGCCTGTCGGTAGGTAAACAGAAGTTAATTACGTGCAAAAACAAAAAATAGAAAGTGGTCTGAGAAAACAGATATGAACTACATCATCGGCTTTCATCTCGTGCACATACTTTCGAATTATTTAATTTTGATAACCGTTAAGCTCTGACTTCCTGAATTAACAGAAAATTTTATAAGCAATACTTCCTAAGTTTCTACGGAGAGTGAATAATCCTTGAGTTACCACGGTTCGTAAATGTTGCCTGCGATGTGGTCAACAGTGGGACGTATACAAGTATAGATTATTTCTACATTTTTACTTTTAAGATTTATCCGAGCCTAGAACTGAGGCTGATTTATTTGTACATTTGTGGCACTAAACTTTCATTAATTTATTAATTCATTCAAAGTCCGCTGTTGAACATAGGCCTCTCCATAAATCGTCGCTTTGGTGGTGAAGAGAGTCAAACCACAACTTTGTTCAAATTGAGTTTAATACTCTAGCATAATCATAAGACTACGATTTATACGATGGTGAAGAGATCTATCTGCCAAATTATTTTATCTGTCCAATAGTTTTGAAGTTTTGGACTAATTATTATTTTTTGTGTAGTATCGCATCTTAAATGCTCATTATCTCAAAACGTGTAAAATGTGCGTTGACTCTCTTCACTACCAAAGCGACGAAATTGCCTCATTAACGTTTTTATTCTTTCATTTTCTATTTGTTATTGGTAAAATGCTGCTGCCCATCTCCTCTGGTTTGTTTACTTCTTTCTTCTCTTACGACACCCACGGTACGATATGACGTAGTGGATATTCTTACACCGACAATATTCACAATATTAGTAGAAAGTTTTCGGCGTGATCGAAAACGACTGCAAATAACATACTCAACGTTAACAACTGCACAGATAATGTGTGTCAACTATGAGAGAAGACGTCGTTGACGTTGGTTGTTCGTTGACATAAACAAAATAGTGTGTAAAAAAGATAAATCAAAATGCTCTTGCCATATAAAAGGAAAGGCCGCAATTGAAAACGAATTTGAAAGACGATGCAATGCATTTGAGAAAAAAACAATTCATAAATTTCACCTTCCGTGTTAAAAACAAGGGCTGTCACTTAAAATATATTTTTATATGCACTGTAATTCTTATGTCCATGTTGTTTTGATATTAATTTGTTACTACTAAATCAACCTCATCTTCAAAAAGAACAAGTGAACACAAAAATGGTTAAAATTATAAAAATAAGAAGTCTCATTGATCAGAAAAAGTCTTCATTTGCTAGGTTAGATTATGAATAGAATTTTTGAAACCAAATTCTGTCTAAAATAATATGAGTGGAGGCGGTGTATAACAATCCATCATTTCATCATTCCATTTCTTCTATTTAGGCTACTACAGGAAACACCAAAAATACTTAGAAATAATTCCTTCTATTCTAAATTCTTTTCTATTGAAGATGTTCGGCTCTGGAACTCCTTACCGCTGCATATTAGAACTGCACAATTTACTGAAAAGTTTAAAAAACTTGTCAAAGCTCACTTCTTTCCTCCTTAAATAGTCATTCCTCTATCTGCCCTTGATATTGTTCATTTAAAAATAACTACTTGTTTTTCCTAACGTTAAGGCTTTTATTTCACTTATTTATTTACTCCTTTGTGAAATTTTATATGTATTTCTATATTTCTGTAATTGAAATGTATATATTTATTATATTATTATGTATGTATTGATCGAGTATTTATGTCGTGTATATTTTTTAACAACATACGTACACACTTAACCTTTCTCACAGGTTATTATATCTTCTGCAATGTGGTTGGTTGGTAGAGATCGCTACTAAGCGATACGGCCGCTGTTGTACCCTTAAATAATTTGTTGTTTTTTGGAACGAAGTTCTTTATCGGACGGTACGAATTTGGCGGATGGGGGCTAGGCGAGAAAAACCCCCGTCACGACCCCTTCTGACGTAGCGTGGACGGTCTTGGAATAATAACCATCTCCCTAGAACTTTTTATTATCTTGCCATGAAAAAAGTACGCGAAAGAAGCGAAAGAGGTTTGTAAGGATCGTGACACTTGGCGATCTGTTCTCTCTGGCTACCCCGTCAGGGATTGTGCGTGAAGATATGAAAAAAGTATTAGTTTATTTTAAATGACGCTTCATTTTAATAGACGCTAGTAATTCATTTATTTGTATTTGTCATTCAATAATATAAATCGTTTATCAATATTAATACAGCTCCGAAGCGCAGTGGCTTAGCAATGAGTTGCAGCGCTAAGGGGGTCGGGTTCGAATCCAGCACGGAACAAGTATTTGTATGGCCTACAAATAATTGTTCTGGGTCTGGATGTTTATCCTTGTGAATTTTTTTTTATAGGAGCGGGCCGCTCACCTGATGGTAAGTGACTACCGCCGCCCATGAACAACTGCAATATTAGGAGGATTTTAGATGCTTTGCCAGTCTTTTAAAAAGGACTAGGCTCTTTTCTTGAAGGTACCTAAGTCATATCGGTCCGGAAAAATCGCGGGTGGTAATCGATTCCACAATGAAGTTGTGCGAGCGAGAAAACTTCTTCTAAATCGCACAGCGGTAGACCGCCAATCATCCAGATGGTATGGATGGTATCGCGAGTTTTGTCGCGATGTGCGATGGTGAAATTGAGTGGCTGGAATAAGTCCAGACAAATCCTCAGAGCACTCCCCGTGGTAGATGCGACAAAATACGCAAAGCAATGTAACTCTTCGCAGCGCCAGTGAATCGAGCCGATCGGGAAGAACTCGGTCGTGGACGATCCGAGTCGCTCTGCGCTGGATGCAGTCAAGTGGAAGCACTGGGGAGCCCCAGCCCAGAAAGATGGGAACAGGTTCCATGTGAGATCGAACCTGCGTCTTGTAAAATTGCAGACGGTGCATAGCAATGAATGTACTGGTTTGCAACATATCATTGATATGCAGAAGAAATAGCGTTGGTGATAACACACCATCGCTGTTTCTGTGGAACACCAGCGTTAATAGGCTTGTAATCGGAACATGCACTGTCTACTACGACCTTGATGCTCTGATTAGCTAGAAAACTGGTGATCCAATTGCACCATTTCTCGGGAAGCCCATAGGAAGGGAGCTTCAAAAGAAGTGCTTTATGCCAGTCCCGATCAAAGGCCTTCGCAATGTCCAAACTAACGGCCAACGCCTCCCCCTTGGACTCTACTGCCTCTGCCCATCTATGAGTCAGGTAGACCAGAAGATCACCAGCTAATCGACCCCGACGAAAACCGTATTGGCGATCACTAATCAGCTGGTGATCCTTAAGGTACCGCATGAGCTGGCAGTTAATAATAAATTCCATTATTTTGGAGAACAAGGAGGTGATGGCGATAGACCTGTACTTGGACGGGTCTGAGCGGTCGCCTTTTTTAGGGATCGGGTGGACAAAAGCTGTCTTCCATGATTTCGGGACTACGCCTAGGGAGTAGGAGTACCGGAAAAAACGCGTTAGAACCAGTGCCAACTGGAGAGCACGTCCTCAGTACAATTGGTGGAATTCCGTCAGGCGCACTCGACTTATGTATGTCCAGGGAGATGAGTGCTTTGCGTACTGCGCATTGTGTGAATCGCACATCAGGCATAGAGCACTCACACTGCGGGATGGTCGGCGGTGTGTTCCTTTTGTTATCGAGAGTTGAGTTGGACGCAAAAAGGGAGCCTAAAAGATCGGCTTTCTTTTATGCGGCGTGGGCCAGTGAGTCGTCCTCCCTGTGCACAGATGGTTGTAATGGCTTACAGAAATTTCCTTGAACAGCTTTAGCGAGAGACCAGAATGCACAGGTTCCCAAAGGAAGGCGAACTAATTTCTCACCAATTCTGTCTATGTGCTCATACTTTGCCTTAGCAATAACTCTTTTGAAGAACCTGGAGGCGAACCAAAGGCAGTTCAGGCCTAATAACACTCCTGCTTACTGTGTAATGCATTCCAATAGGACTAAAGCAAGGCTAAGATCTGCCTCCGATGGATACCACAGATGATGGAATAAATAGTTCCATTCCCTGTAGCAGCACATCAGTGACAGAGTCAGCAAAAGCGCTGGGATGATCCGGCAAAAAGCAAACCCGTCCCCATGGGTAGGATGCAAAGAAAGACCACATTCCGTCCCAATCCGCCAACCTGTAATGCCAAACACGGCGGCAAGCTGCAGATCACAACTGCGATCGGAGCGTGAGTGGCACCACACTCTGGATCAGAGAATGGTCCAAAGAGCCGAGATGGGCATCGACAGAAACCTGATATCCGTCCGGATGATAGGTCCGTAGAAGGTCCAACAGGAAATGTGTATGATCCTCCACATCTGGAATCCGCGTAGGTGAAGTAACCACTTGTGTCAGACCATAAGCCAACCGACCAAAGGCCAAGGCAACGTCATAAACAGTTCTCCCCACGTGATCGGTTAAACGTGAACCGAGCCATTCGACGTGGTGGGCGTTGAAATCGTCATGTATAGCAAGCAAGCAAGCAAGAAATCTGTAGCCATTTGGACATGGTCGATGAGTCGGTCTGTGTCGGCATTACCACTATGGGACCTATACAGGCGCCCATAGACGCGGGGATGGTCAAGGTTCTAAGTACTGCCGAGGCGTCGAGAACAGATATCTTCCCTGACTTATACAAACTCCAGCCCGGGGCACAAAGGTAGTGGATGGTGTTAAGGTTCGAGTGAAGTCCCCTGATGTTCCCATGACGCCATGGTTATATCGCTCTATTTGCTCCGTGTAGTGTTTGTATAGAACGGGATATTGCCCCCTAGATGGATTTTGCTCAGGCTGCACAGAATATGCGGGGCAGCCTGAGCACCCACGCTTAAGAAGAAGAGGGTAACTTGACCGTGGATGCTCAGTGAGGGATTCTCCGTTACCATGAGTGCTGGTACCCTCCTGGGGTAGTGTTTTCTTTTTGAATTCCATTATCATTTTATGGATGGGGTTTGGGTCTCCGACCACTTGCACTAACCAAGCGAAACGCAGAAGCAAAGCTTCTACTTTACGTTGATATTCTGTGAGGTCGTGGTACTGCTCCGGTTCGAGCCGGCCCATCCATGCTACAGCAGAAGCTGCAGCGTTACCACAGTTATTAAACTGTATCTAAACTGCCCCCGAGATACAGGAGAAAAACCTATGGAGGTAACGTTTTCAAAAAATAATATATATATATTAAAAGCGTCAGTAGTCTAAAAACTACTGTCGTGAACCGTTTCTAACACAAGCATTTTAATCTTACCAGAAGTGGTTTTAGTAATGATTAATAGCATTATAAGTATTAAAAAAAAAACACTACAAAAAGAACTTCTTTCCAACCGAGTGTTCCACGACACACACGCATGTTGTTTTTTTTTCTCTTATATGTTTTTCTGGTTCATAATAAAGTATATTTCATTTATTCAGAAAATTCTTATGACTTCCGACAGATGACGGTATAATCATCTCGCTTACGCCAGACGTAAAATACCCAGATCAGTAACGGAGAGCAACATCAAAGGTGCGAGACATCTGGTATTGCGATTTTTAATCCGGCTGTCAAGTATATTTTTTACGAACTGATGATACAGAAGGAGCATGTCCAAAATATAGCTATATAATGATAAATTAAAAAAAAAACTTTTTGAAGTTATACTTCTTTTGGCGTGTTTGAGAAAAATGATGAGAATGAATATTTTACGGTACACGCGACACCCACACCTAAAAAGTACACCATGAAGTTGTTACGATACGCGCGAACACCGATACCTAAAAGCGACAACTTCAGTTGATAATTGTCTGTCAACTGTGAAGTTTTCATGAGAACTGATAACTATATTCAAGGTAGTTGTTCAAATGTAATATATGAATCTATAAAACGTGTTTTATTCTAGTTATTTTTGTTTTGTTACACTATAGAATACCAGCGTAAAATAGCAGCTTAACGCTGCTGTGTTTCGTATGGTGAGTGATAAGAATCGGAGACCCTTTTTACTGGAAACGAGGCATTCCGTCTTAGTCCTTACGGGTGACAACGCATCTGCATTTTGATTCGTAATCGAAGATAGATGTAGATGTCTATGGGCCACAGCATCCACTTACCATCAGGTGAACTGTGTGCTCGTTTGTCACCCTGTTCCTATAAAAAAAATATTTCCGTTAAAATATTATAAATGGTTCAACCCTAGTGAAAGAATGTGGTTCACACATAATGATGCGCTATCTAGGCCAACGAAAGCATTATACCATTCACTTGCAGGGTCACTTTGCTAGCTGTTTGGACAATAATATTTAAGCTATTATCTTATAGCTCTTATTTACAGTTAATATCACAAGTGATGTAGTGATATTAGCTGTATGCATAATCATGTAAAATGTGTATATAATAATCACCAGTTCTTCCAATTTCTCTTTATCTTAAATGGATTATATTGCTAACCAAATAACCAAATACACTGTATTTGAATTAGTGGACTGCGGTCATTAATAGTTGTAATTTTCAGCATCAATATTTAATATATTATCATCATCATCACCTTTAATACATCCTTCACAAATACACTTTAATAGGATTTTTACATACTAACATAAATTCGACATGAACCAATATCCAGAAAGAGATCAAGTATTAATAGGCCATTTACAACATAAACCAAAGGATTCACTCAAAGACCTTTTTAAAGAAATAAATACCTTAACTGCATCACAATTAAATTTGGAAAATATTATTTATGTAAAGAATTATTTTAATACCTTTGATAAAGTGAGTGAGGTCCCTAACTTTAACACGTGTATTAAATCTAAACTTAATGTACATTTTTGGGTAGATAAATATTTATAATAAGATTCCAAGTAATATTACTGATTTGTCTTCACATAAATTCAAAGCGCATTTAAAAAGTACTCATGAAGAAAGGATGTTATAAATAATACTAAGATGTAAACATTCTAATTAAGAAATGTAACGAAATATACATTCTAACGTGATTTTAAATATCAAATATTAAAAAATATATATTTCTGGGTGTCACCATTGATAATAATTTGAACTGGAATCACATGTTGAGAAAATAAACAGTAAGATTTCAAGAAGCTGTTATGCCGTATCAATATTGAATAATGTAGCATCTAGAGATGTAGCAAAAAAATTATTACTATGGTCATGTCTATCCACTTTTGACATATGGAATTATATTCTGGGGCAATTCTGTTGACATTCAGTCCACATTTGTTTTACAAAAATAGTGCGTAAGGATTATATACCTATAATATTAATCAATATGACTCATTAAGGAATGTATTTATAGATTGTAAATTCCTGACGTTGACTTGTATATACATACTTGAAATTTCTGTGTTTGTCAAAGATAATCAACAACATTTTCATATTAAAAAAGAATCAAAAAAGAACTTGTGAACTCAATATGCTTTTGATGTGTGCATTGTTAAATCATCTAGTTATATTTATAGTAAAAGTACTTTAATAAGCGGAATCAGAATCTTTAACCATTTACCTATATACATTAAATCATTTGAGAGCCCAAGATTTAAAAAAGCTAAAAGAATTGTTATTGTCAAAAATTTTCTATAATTTAGATGAATTTTTTGGAAGTAATTATTGATTTATTGTAGTGCTTTTTTTTATTTTTTATTATAATGTACGTCCGAAATGGACAAACTGTTGTAACTATACTCTGTATTTGTGAGACCTCATGTACACAATTATGACAATAAATGATTACCTTACTTTATCTTATCTTATAAAATAGCTTTAGCAATTTACTCTATTTACCTATTTAAAAAATATTAAGATTACAATAAACACTCATTTGATTTTCGACATTTTCCAGGTGCTGTTCACGTGCATTGTTCTAGAAGTTTCAACAAAACCCGCAGACGTGTAAGTTAAATTTACCCTCGCTTTAATCAGTTACTGAATAAGATACTTAATAATAATAAGTAAGATGAAAAAGGAAGTAATTTTATTCTTTCTTCTTACTTTCAAGAAGTCTTTCATTTTGTCAGTTTCGAGAAATTTTAGTCGGTAATGGCTAGCACATGACTTTGTTTATATAGAGGCCGCTAAAATACGGGCAGTTGTTACTTGTTACCTAATACTCACAAACGCCTCATTAGCAATCACCACGCGACACAACGCATTCACAAACTAACCTTGAATTCTTAGTTGTATCTTCGAGATAGAAGCTATTGTAAAAATCTACGCGCTGAGCTAATCCAGGTATGGTGATTAATATTATTTAGCTTAACCACCGCTACATTTGTACTGTGCACGCTATATTAATCGGCTTGGGCTTAGCAAAGGAGTTAGTCTTGAAGAAATACAATAAAAATATACATATGTATATTTCAGAACTACAACGGAGAGCACCAAAGAAGAAGCAATAAGTAAAACTGACGAAAGGCAAGATAATGAAGAACAACTACTATCAAATGGCACAAATCAATCTAACCTTATTACTCACGACATATTAGAAAAAATTAAAACAATCAATGACGGCTTGAAAAAGCCTGACAAAATTCAAAAAAACTACAATAACAACCCTCAATCTGGCGCTGAATATGTCATAGATGCAGCTACATTAGAAAAAATACAACAAATTATTGCTTCAGTAAAGCCACGTCCGATTTCACAACAGATAAATAGAGATCAAGAAGCAAATTCTATTTTTAATTATAATGACGTAAACCAACGTTTTTTACGTTCAAAAGCATTAAATTTAATGCCAAATGTTTTAAATCAAGGTTTACTACCAACATTTTCTATGCCATATATAACTACTGTGCCAATTATGATAATGCCAGCAATCACTGATGTGTATACTAAGAACGCCATACCAAATTCGATACAATCAGATAATTATCAAACAAGACAAGAATCACCATCATTTCCGTTTCAATTTCAATGGCCATTTGCTTCTTTTTTCCCTATACTGGTAAAGGATCCCTTACTTGCAATTATGCACGGAGGTGGCTGGAACAATCTTTTTGAATTTGGACAAAGTGCCGATGTATGTAGTATAAGAAAACAGAAATCCTTTGGTTTGAATAACATTGAAAACATGGACTTTAGGAACAACGTTGAAAGTAATAAGTTCGTGGAAAACAACCTCAATACGGATAATTTAAAGCGGCGTTCAAGAATTAGGCGCTCGCTCAAAAAACGAAATATATCAACATCGTCTACTATTGAACAAGAATTAAGTAGTGCTAAGGAGCCTAAAAAAGCTGTTCTGAAACCTGTTGTTACACGAAAAGCAACGAACAAGCCACAAATTGAAAAAGAGAAGGTAATTCAAGATACAAAAAGCAGTGAAATTGAAGGGGACTTACGCTTCCCTTTCAGTGATTTTACATGGTTTGGAAACAGGAAACCAGTGGCTCCTAGTCCAGGTTTCTTTATAAACAGGTTAAGGGTAAGAAAAGGCGGTGTAGCAATCGCAGGACCGGGTGGTGTAGCAACAGCTGGAAGAGGCGGAACTGCTATTGTTGGACCAGGTGGATTAGCTTACACCCAGCCTGGAGGCATTGCTGTCGCAGGTCCTGCTGCTCGTGTAATTGCTTTATCACCACACACTGATCTAACATCATTAGTATCACGCCTTCATCAACAATCCACAGATGAATCAATGCCACGATCATTTAATCCATTATTAGGTGGAAAACTGGTGGGTACAGGGCCGGTTATTTACTATCATCCAAATGAACAGACATGATCATTTCTGTACACTCTTATATTAAATGAATTAACCAGTAACTCTTATTTACCTGCCTATTAGATACAACGGGGTACCGCGAGAAAGTATGGCACATTATATAAGAAATTTTAACAACAAGCGATCTGATTACCACTACAATGGAATGAAATTTGAAACAGGTCCATTGAAAAATGCTACAATAATGATACAACTTAACCCAAGGGCTCTCGCACTAACTGATATAAATGGAACAGCAATAGCAAATCCTATATCTCATGTCATAGTTGGAAAAAATAAACAAGTTGCAATAACTTACAACCCAGAAGCAGTCGCCATAGCTGGACCTGGTGGAATAGCGCACGCTGAATCTGAACTTTACCTTTATGAATTTCACACTAATAAAGAAGAATAATTTATCTTAATATACAACTCTATATTAAGTGATATTCGAAAAATATTTTCGACTGCATTTTTGAAGCTGTTTTTCGAACTATAGCTCACGGTTAAAACTTTATTAAAATATAATTAAAAAAAATTGAATTTATTTCTTTCTTTCATTTTTAACCTTTAAAGTTTTTAATTATGAGTTAGTTGTTATTTTAAGTGTTAATTAACATGATCATTTAGTGTTATGAAATTTTAAATCAAGCACTTATCCTCAGAGTACACGGCCGTCAGTAAAAAAAGACATTATAAATACAAGTTTAGGATAATTTTTATACATATAGCAGTATATAGGCTAAGTATGACTATAATACTTCTATAGATGAAGAACTGAAAAGAAGCCTTTACACGGTAGTAGACCACACAACAGTAATTAAGCATGAAACGATACCATGAACTATCCCACCGAATTTAATCATACAGTGCATTTTATCTATAACCTACATGGAATAACTTGATAGCAAACGAAGTTTGTGATCTGATTTCCATGCCGATTACTATCATATTTTTTTATAGAAGAAGGGGCAAACGAGCATGCAACTCACTTGATAGTAAATTTCAACGACCGCCTATGAATAGCTGCAACACAAGACGAGCATACGACTCATCATCTTTATCATTATCATCATCATTACAGCCTTTCATAAGTCCACTGCTAAAGATAGGCCTCCACCAAAGAATGCCACAGAGCACGGTCCTGAGTCACCTGCATCTGCCTGCATCCATCGACTTCCTGCATTTCGTCGTCACTCCATCTAGTGAAAGGTCGCCCTACACTTCACCTACCGGTACTACTACTCACTTGATAGTAAATGTCTGCATATGCATGAATAACTGCAATACCAGAGTATTTGCAGTTGCATTGCCGTACCTTTTAAAAAGGAGAAAGCTTGTTTTTGAAAGGCTTCTAGACGTATCGATTCGGAAAAATCGCAGGTGGTAAACGATTCTACAAAGGAGTCGTGTGAGCAAGAAAACTCTTAGTTAATCGCACCATGATGGAACGCCAAGCATTCAGATGGTATCGATGGTATAGAATTGTATTGCAGTATTTATTGTTGGTGTGTGCGGCTGAAATAAATCCGAACAATTCCTCTGAGCAATCCAAGTGGTAGATGCGATAGAAAATGCAAAGAGATGTAACATTTCTTGAAACCGCCAGTGATCGAGCCGATATTATTATTCCAGAATTCAGAAGTATTCTTCTAAATTATTAAGCTATGATTTCACAATACTTCCAATCATAGAACATATTATGTGTTTTTTTTTAATTATAAGTAATAGAGATGTAAACAAAAACGTAATACTTTACAAATTAACTTATCACTTTACTTTGATAATAGTTTCGTGAGCAGATTAAATTGCAAAATGATACAAATAAATTACACAATTAACCTAAACTATGAGGATTATGTGAGTTTCGTAGTAATCGTAAAACGATAAATTCATATTTATTATTTTTCATTGGAGTTATATTATAATTAAAGTAATGAAGTTAAAATTTTCAAAGGAGTTAAAGCATCTATAAAATTATAAACTGCTTATATTCTTTAATTAGTTTATGGATTAATGACTGAAAAAAGACATAACACTTTCTCTAACGTCTATGTCACAACGGTTAGAACATTTTTAAATGTTATTTATAAAAGTATATATATGTTCAGAGCTCTGGGTTGTCATCCTGAATTATCAGAAGTCATTTTGAAAATAAACAACTAAAGGACGAGAAACAACTCTCCTTTTCTAACTTTCATAGTAGCATAGAAAGTATAGCCTATAAGTTAACGAAGGTCATAAATTAACTCTATATCCAATTTCATGGAAATCCGTTTAGTAGTTTTTTTGCATCTTTTTGAATCGTGAATACATCGTAAGCCAAAGTAGTCATCAGTTTTCTCTATATAGCCCCTATACTTGATATTTCCCTAAAATTTTAGACACAAATTTTTATCAGTTTATTATAATGTACTTATAGATTGGCTATTAATTTTTGATGAATTTCAATTTAAAAAAATTAAATTAAATCCAAAGAACATATTTTATTATAGGGCATCTACACAATATCTGCCATTTTACGGAGGCGCCAAAGGGCAATATTTAGAAGTAAAAAAGGACACGAAGGGTTTTGTTGTTAGCGAAAAGATATTAGCAGAAGACAGCATTAGCAGTGAGAACATAGTTAAGAATAACGATGAGAGCCTCCTATCTAGGGTATTCGCTGCAAACTTGCAGAGTCTACGGACATTGTCGAACAATGTACTGAAATTACATACCTTGGGCAGGAAAACGGGTGTTTTGGGTAACACAGACAAAACAAGATTCAAAAGTCAGCTGTCTTCACTTGGAGAAACAGCGTCGAATACAATCAAGTTAATAGATGAAATTGGGGACAATGTAGATGCGCTTTTCAATCAAAACGCTACACTCTTGAAACGGCATGAGGAAAACTACGAGGATGATGACGTAAGTACTATTCACAAATTATTGTACTCAACAATTTTAAAAACAACATAGCAACAATATCTAAAACAAAGAAACATCCCATGTACTGACTGCATACGAGAATACTTTATACCAGTTTATGTCCTCCAGCGGATTAAAGTCGAAGTCAATTTAAAACTGAAGTGACCAACGATCTTACAATCCACCTGATGGTGGCAGTCCTGTTCATGATCAACCTGCAGCCAACTTCAAACAAAGCGTGGTGACCTCTGGGCTGGTGGTATCGATACCGCCGCACAATCAGTAATTATACTGGTTCTCTTTACCCTTCAAATCGAAACTAAGCAGTACGAGCACTGCTATTAAATTATTGATATTTAATTTAGCAAGACAGCTGTTTATCCATATAATATAACAGTTAGTGACGGCAGACAACGTAAAGTACGATTTATTTACGTTGGCTGGCTGAAATTGCAAATGTAACTCTTAAGGATAATTATAGAAATCTCTTTCCAAGATCTAAGAGGTCTTTCCCCAGTCCACATGAGAAAGCTTAAGGTCGCTCGGAGTTTCTCCGTGTGATAGATTTTAAATTTAGGCTATGCGCAGCAGAACCAGTGTAAACGATATAGCCCAAAGGATTATTAAGCTAAAGTAGTAATGGACCTACCATACAGCTCTAAAAACCGACGACTGATGAGGAAGAAAGGTTTTCGTATGGTAGACTCGTAGTGAAATGTAAGGCTGTTCCCTACTAAAGTAGAGACGAACTGGTAAAAGGTGGAGGAAGTCAATGGATGCTGACCGTAATTTGTAACATTCCTTCCTGTTCCACAGTGAACCTGTGATGAGCTGTAATTATGATAATTATTATGATGTCCAGTAAACTGTTAAGAGCAGATGAACAAGTAGATAGTGACATTACGAAAATTCCTAAAAGACCTTGTGGCTTTCGATAGATATAACTATTTTCTATTTATGCTAAGTATAAAATACTGATCCTAAAAACACAATCAGCGTCAAGGGTGCAAAAATTCTGGTACTGGGATCGACAATTAGTCTAGTAAGTATAGTGATTATGGAAAATTCTCATTATGAGAGAGAGATGAGAAAGGCTTATATTCAGCAACAAATTGTCAACGAGCTAATAAACAAATAAGAATATGATCATGACCTTCAGCTCGCAAAAGTCAACTATTGAACAAGCGTCTCTCCCGTTGAGCGGATTTTCCTCTTTAATCACGCTGAACAGGTGGATAGCAATCGTAATCCGTTTGACGCTTCTCCCAGTCACCGTGTAAGTATAACCTAAACTGTACAGATATATCGTCTTCTATCGAAGCCATTAGATCTAACCGTGGTTCTCCATAGTTGCCTCTTACCACGGAAGGAAATTGGCTAGTACTCGTACATTTTCTTAAGTTACGACCATATCATACATAATATAAAACCTAAAACTACCCGAGCGTTAATGGTAAATCTAAAACTAATCTGGTAACGGCCATTGAGTTATATGTACTACGTACTAGAGAAGCTATTCCAAACAAAAATTATGCGCTACTCTATGTCTTCGCGCATGAGCGGGAGACTAATTTAATATAATATAGGATATTAATATAAAGTAAATATAAGAATTTAATATAAAATACTGTTATTTTAATCTAAACAAACATATTTCTAAATAAAATGTAATAATAATCATCTTATGGTATTCACAAATCCTCAATTTACGCAATATTTAGTTTAGTATACGCATTGCAGTACAGTTCAGTTGAACACAGTCAATGTTCGAAATGTGAAATCTAGGGCGTAGTAAGTACAAACGAGTATATATTGACGGGTACGGCGATCTTCAATTGTTTTCAAACCGTTCCGGATATTTACAAAAAATACGTTTGTTACTTTATAATAATATATGTAGATTTATGCTTTAATTTCTATAAGTTTTTATTATTATTATTATTTAGGTAGGCGATGAGAGCGATGTAGTCGACTCTCCTTTCGACACAGATGAGTTTGGTTACAGCAATTCAAGAATTGCCGAAGCAAAGCCTTTCGGTATGTATTGCAATTAATACAGTAGGCAATATGGAAACTTCGATGTCTAAAAAAATAAGCAGACTTCAAAAAAG